TGTGTCATAGGGTGAGGTAGGGCAGTGTGAGGTACTCCCACAGTAAGGTAACAACTTCCCACGTTAAGGATAAATCTACTGGAGAAACACGAGGAGAGGAAGAGGGAGCTGAAGAGAGGAAGGAGGAAGGAAGAAGAGGAGGAGAAGGGGAAGGAGGAAGAGGGGGGGAGGAAGGAAGAATAGGTGGAGAAGGGGAAGGAGGAAGAGGAGGGGAAGGAAGGAAGGAAGGATACTTAAGTGTGAACTAAGAACGTAGCATCTACTTACTTTAATAATCTAGTTCTGTATATAATCACCATAAGTAGTAATCTATAATAAGAGAATTACTGTTCAAACATGGCTAAATTATTTTCTGCCAGGAAGGTCAAAAGGTTAAAAAAATCATGACCCCGAATTTTTTGTTTCAAGCTTCACATCTCATAAGAAATGTCGCTGTAGTGTTATGACGTGGCAAGCGTCTTCATCCCATCACCTCCTGAAGCTGCAGTGGGTTAAAAGGTCGAGGTGGAGTGGTTAAAGGTAAAGGTCACAGGTGTTAGGAAAGGCAGCTCCCTCGAGTACCGATTGAGTGATCTGCTCGGCCTTCCGTTTTACTTTTTTCTTAAGGTTAGTCTCTGGAGGGAGTGAGGCAGACAGTGGTACTGGTGTTTTACTGCATAATAGCGTTGTCTGAAGGAAAGAGCATCTCGGGTGTTGAGAGAGAGAGAGAGAGAGAGAGAGAGAGAGAGAGAGAGAGAGAGAGAGAGAGAGAGAGAGAGATTGTCATTCTCCATAGTGTAGTAGACAAAATTATATGGAATAAAAGTGTATCAGAACTCGACAAATGGTCTTTCTCACCACAACACTGTCTCTCTCACCACACTCTCTCTCACCATACTGTCTCTCACCACACACTCACCATACATAAAACAATCAATGAAGGATAATATTCACTTTACTCTCACACCTGTTGAGAAAAAACAAACTCAAGTGACATGAGTACAAATTCTCGACTTTCACTCGATCTTGACGGCCCCTGGAGGCGAGGAGCGATCACAGGGAAAAAGCTTGTGTGTTAGTGGCCACAAGGGACCCTCTGAGAACACCTTACATGTTCCAGGTAGTGGGACCAACTCTCAGGTGCTACGTGGTGCTGCAGGTGTTATGGTGCTGTAGGTGTTGTGGTGGTGTTATGGTGTTGTAGGTGTTGTTATGGTGCTGTAGGTGTTGTGGTGGTGTTATGGTGCTGTAGGTGTTGTTGTGGTGGTGGTACTATAGGTATAACACAATAAGTGGAGAGACTACAGTATTCCCCCTTGCAAGAATCAGGTACGTGGTCCGCCTCGTGAGTAAGATATATCGACGTCTCGGGTAGCAACGGCACTTAGATACTCTCCTCACTCTTCCTCTCAAATACTGTATATCGTTCCTACCTTGAGAGAGATGGTTCCTCCTACCGTAATGTATACTGTACTTTCTGCAATGTGTGTGTGTGTATAGATTCGTATGTTGTATAGTAAGTGATGGTGTGGCTCCAGTGCTTCACCAGATAAACCGTGTTTGTATTAAGACTAGTAAGGTCTCTCTCTCTCTCTCATATAATGACATTTTTACCTGAAAAAGGATGCATCATTCATATAATGACATTTTTACCTGAAAAAGGATGCATCATTCAGCCTCAGGACAGGTCAGTACAGGTCACGCAGCTTCAACACACGTCACGACCTGTCACGCCGTGTTACCCCCAGAAACACAGCGACAAGGCGGGGTCATAACAGGTCACGCAACTCTGACTCATTACCACAGGTCACACAGTCCCGTCAGGTCCCTTAATTAGATGTCAAGAAGGGGTCAGGAGAAGTCACGATAGGTCACAAGAGGTTAAGAAAGGTCAAGGGAAGTCACTGAAGGACAAGAGGAATCACAAGAGGTCACAACATACCTACAGGTCACACAACCCTCTTACAGGACACACAGCCTTCCTGCAGGTCACACAATCTTACTACAGTCACTTGAAAAAATCGATAGTCAAGTTTTCATTGACTTCTATTGAAATTTTGAACTGACGAATATTAAAAAAAAGTTATTTCCATTTTCACGAATTTTGTTTTCTGATACAGTCGTCAATCAGGTCCGGTATACTGTAGACGTGCTCGGGTTAGGTTAGGGATGGATTAGTTAAGGGAGAGGTTAGGTTAGGGATGGATTAGTTAAGGGAGAGGTTAGGTTAGGGATGGATTAGTTAAGGGAGAGGTTAGGTTAGGGATGGATTAGTTGGATTAGTTGAGGGATAGGTTAGGTTAGATTAGGTTACATTGGGTTAGATTATATTAGGCTAGGTGCATAATCATCAGATAAAATATGATGAGGAATCTAATCATCCGAGGTTTTTGTTATTTTCACTAAACAATAAAACTTGTATTTTAACAGACTATGGAGAGGAAAGTTCGTTATATTGAGGGCCCGTTAAATGTGAACCCCCACTCCCCATCTAACGGTATATTTGGAGAGAGAAGTCCATTATATAGAGGTTACACTGTATAGAGGTATTAATATGACGTATTAATCACGACTCTGTCACATCCGCTCACCTGTGTACCGCGGGGCCCGACACCACCTGTTCTCTGGGATTTTTCTATTTCAGGGCAAAACCATGTGGGGTGTGCATACGTTGAGCGGCGGTGTTGGTGTACTGGTAAGAGGATCACAGGCCAACGTGTTCCCAGGTTTGGGTTTATTTACACGGCGGAAGGTGAAATCGGCCTGAATTTATAGTTGACCCCACTCCCACTCAACCCCCACCCCACTCCCACTTAACCCCACCCCACTCCCACTCAACCCCACCCACACTCACACTCAACCCCACCCACACTCAACCCCACCCCACTCCAACCCCACCCAACCCTAGCCTGAGTGAACTAAAACACACACACACACACACGCACACACAAAGTTCCCCTTACCGTAAAACTTTCCACAATGAGAGGACTTTGTGTCGCAATTAGTTGTTGTGTATATATACAGTGGGATGGATCCTGAGGCCCCACGGAGAACATTGACTAGGCTTGCCCCCCCCCTTTCCTGGATGAGTGTAGAAGTCCTCCTCACCTCCCTCCTCCCTCCTTCCCTAGAGGTCGTTTAAGCTCTTATGAATGCTCCTCCACCTACACCCTAGAGGTCGTTTTAAGCTTCTTATGTTAATGTAGAGATCAATGCTCCTCCACCTACACCCTAGAGGTCGTTTAAGCTCCCGAGATGAGTGTTTATGTCGTCGTTCCCTGAGGTCGTCCTATGATTAAGAATAAATATCACAAAAGTCGTGGAGTCGTCCAAAAAAGATACAAGAAATCGTAGTCGTAATAAAAGAGTTACATGAAGTCTTGGAGTCGTCATGAACAAATTCTTTATGTCCCAAAAAATTATTACCTTTATAGTCGTATCAGAGTCGTTGTGCGGCTACGAGGGACTTACCTGTCATAATTATAAAGATCGTGAGGGGTCGTACTGGATCGGTGGGTGATGTCCAACTAAGTCCAAGGCATTGTTGAGGATCTCTCGTGACCTAAACATCAGACCTGCAACATTGATAAGAGGATTTCTGGATTTCTCTGGCAGCAGGAATAAAGACTGACATGGGATATAGGTCATACCATATATACTCAACAATCATGACGTCACAGCTGACAGTCAGGAGCCGTAGTTGAGAGATCGAGGCTTACAGTAGTGGTAAACAAAACCAAAAGATCAGCAAAAGAATCGTCATGCAAGAATAGGTTTAAGAAAAGAAACTATAATCTGGCTCAAGGTTCGTGTTTGAAGAAAGGAAATTCGGTGTAGTGGGTTAAAGTCTGTCTCGAAATCATCTTGTAATAGAAGGCTCTCAGTGACATGGGTCTAGGTTTAAAGCCTTAAAATAAATGGTTGAATTCAAATTGTTATTCTCAGTGTGTGTGTGTGTGTGTGTGTGTGTGTGTGTGTGTGTGTGTGTGTGTGTGTGTGTTCCGAGAAGATCCTCCGTGTGAATATTTTTTTTTTTTTGCTGTGGACGGATATTACTAAGTTCGGATATTGCTGCGGTTGGTTACTGCATTGATCGGATATTTCTTTGGTCTGATATTACTAAGTCAGGATTTTGCTATGATTTGGTATACCCTTGTCTATGTTCAGTATAAACGACCAACTCATACATACGATGCCAATTTGATCTCTAATACGCATGTGGCAGAATAAAATCAACATACCCATGGTTAGGTTAGGTTAGGTTAGGTTCGGTTCGGTTCAGGTCCTTACTAACAACAGTAGATTAAATGTTGGACTTGAGTTGGCTGTCACAGATCAGTGGTATAGTGAGGGGTGACTTATGATTCACCAGTAGTATGGGAATTACAACTCGTCTTTATAAATTCACATTTCTCACACTTTAAGCATTTTCTAATTCCAGGATTTCTTCCCTCTTTTTTCCTCTGATCATAAAGGCATTTTTCACAACCATATCCAACAAAGATATTTTACCATGTTTAAAATGAAAGACCAAGTTTTATATTGTTATGAGTCCTTTTTTGCTCGTGTTTAAAGGTTTATTTGCGAGCGGTAATTATGAAACTCAAAGTCTCGGTTTTGTTCGAGTAACCCCGGCAGTAAGGGAACCCTATAAGACAATGTTGCCAAATGGGAATATCTGTACCTTATTTCTTTTCCCAGGTCAGGGGCGAGGGATAGGTCAATCGATTTGTTTGTCTGTCTGTCTTCCTCTCTGTAATAAAGATTGTTTGAGATCAAAAGTTGTCTGGCTGTAATCTTAAGCCGGTAAAAAGCAATTCGTAAAAGAATTTTTTGATGGAATTACACACGACGAGATACAAGTGAATGTGATGTGGGTGTACCAGGCTGGATGGTTCCTCTGTGGTGACTTCCAGTAGTTATGACTTGAAGCTCATTATCATTAGCTCTTCCTCCTTTGTTTTAAATTGTTTTTTTTTCTAAGTAAATTATGACTCACGGTAGGATAAAAACACTCACCATTATTTCTGCAAAACATGTTTATTTACATATAAAAATAGGGTACTAGGAGCGGGCTGGACAGTGTGGTGAGGACAACAACGGTCAGGAGGAGAGCCCACACGTTGCGGCCTGCGTACCTCACCGACGACCCTCCCTGCATCGCTGCCGGGTATTCTCCTGTAGGGGGAGGAAGTGGCCTTAATGTAGAGGATGTCACGACGAGAGAGGTGTAAGAACCTTCACGTTAAATGGCCTCATTGCTAAGAGATCCTAACCTAACCTAACCTAAATTAGCCCAACTTAACTTAAACTAACCTAACCTTTCCCTAAAATATTCTAACTTGACCAAAACAAATGCTCTCTCGGCAAGTCTGGTGAACTGTGGTCAGGTAGGCAGGAAGCTTCAGGGTATTGACTTGTCTTGGGGTCGCCAGCAAGATCACCAATATCTCTCCCTCACTGTAAACCTCCACCCGTGCTTTATTGACTGTAGCTCAGGTGGGCCTCAATCCTAACGGGCCCCAGTCCTCATAGGCCCCCTATTCCAAGTGGGCCCTAATTCTAATGGGCCCCTACTAGATTTTACCATTATATTTTAACTTTTGAGAGACTACCTACCCACTACACTCACTCACCCACTACACCCACCCACCCACCCACTACACCCACCCATCTCCACACTACACCCACCTGTGAGGACGTGCACGGTGATGGAGTGCTCGCGGGAGTGGGCGGGACTGCAGGTGTAGACGCCCGAGTCTCCAGGTGCTGCCTCCTTCACCACCAGCTGGCTCACACTCCGACTAGCCAGCTGAGTCCTGACCCACACGCGCACCCTGTCCTCCCTCACCATCTGTGGACAGAGAAAAATAAAGAGTCAAGAAGAGGTTCCAGGTTCCAGTGTCAAATAGGTTCCAGGTTCTAGTGTCAAATAGGTTCCAGCTGTGATTATGTCATATCCCAGTGGCTGTAGATTCTAAGTAACTCAAATTCCAGTGCATTCCAGTTCTAATTAGCTAAAGTTTCAGTGGGTTTCAGAGAGGTCAATTGGGTTCCAGTTCTGATAGTGTTATGTTCCAGTAGGGAGGGGCCGCTGACAGACGCGAGCGGGTCCCCTGATACTCCGCAAGATTGTTATGAGTTACGTGATGGACCATATACCGCCTCGTCTGGCTGTCTTGCTCGTGTGATACTGTGCGTGTGTATGGTCACTACTGTCACATTATATTACAAGACGTGTGGTGTAATAGGTCAGACGGAGGGAGGGATCACAAGACTGCCATCAATACATCATATAAATAACTACAAAGTTATTACGTTATCGGGTGTCTTGTAATTACATACCAGCAGTTATTATTATTATTATTATTACTATTACTATTACTATATTATTATTATTATTATTATTATTATTATTATTATTATTATTATTACTATTACTATTACTATATTATTATTATTATTATTATTATTATTATTATTATTATTATTGGATTTAGTTTAACAATTCGGCCTTAGTTCCGGGTTCGGGTTATAAATTTCTTGTATTTTTCTTCCCTTTAAACAGGTCGCTGGGAGTTACGTCAGCACCCGAGGCTCATTACACCTTTAATAAATAAAATGAAATCGTCTATAATTTAAACGCTGATAAGAATAACACTACCTGTAATTACCTGAGGCACGCCACGGTGTAAGGTAACAGGTAGGGTGTCTGGGGGTGGGTGGGAGGTGGGGGGTGGGGGGTGGGAGGGTGGGTAGGGGTGGGGTGGGAGGTGGGGGGTGGGGTGTGTGGGTGGGAGGGGGGTGGGTGGGGGTGTGTGGGGGTGGAGGTGTGGGGTGGGGTGTGTGGTGGGGTGTGTGGGGTGTGTGGGGTGGGTGTGTGTGTGGGGGTAGGGGTGTAAATTCTCGTCTATTTAACAGGACAACTGAGCTACACGCCAAATATGTTACGGATGACGAAGGCGACGACGTAGATGATTTTGACGAAGACGATAATATGGACGATGAAGACGAGTACGATGACGACACTACCACACCACCTATCACACTACTACACCACCTACCATACCACCTACCACACTACCACACCACACAACCACACCACCACACTACTACACCACCTACCCATTGTTACACCACAAAACACACCACCACACCACCCACCACCACATTACCACACCACACTACCACACCACCACACTACTACACCACCTACCCATTGTTACACCACAAAACACACCACCACACCATCCACCACACTACCACACCACAAAACACACCGCCACATTACCACCCTGCACTCACCAGTAAGAGGCGACAGGCAGCTAGTTATAAATAGTCACTAACACTCCACCTTATTGATCGAACAGTCACTGGTGGGCCATTGGACTCACTAATATATTGTACCGGGGAACCAACAGCCTCTTAAAACGACTGAGCGACGCTGGTGTGTGTCGAGGGTTCAGTGAATGTGTCAAGCATGGTGAGGTTTACAAGGGGTGTAGCGGACCCGTGTCTAGCGCCGATATCCCAGTTTATACACACATAAAAGTTGCCAGGCAGAGCTTCCGTGTTTTAGTACCAACCATCTGCCGCCGACTATAATATGAAAAAAAAAAATATAACGAGATATTTTAGTCTGGGTAGAAAAGTTATGGTAATGTTTTAGTGAAGATTGTTTCCTGTTTATCCATGCAAAGTATTTAGGTTGTTATAGTTTGGTATAAAAAGTTTAGGAAAATACTTAAATGAAAATTGTTTCCTTCTGACCTTGGAAATATATACATGAGAATTTAGTTTAGGTTAGAACGTTTAGGAAAATAGTTTATTGTATATTGTTTCATTTTTACCTTGGGAAAAAGATCTTTCCATATCGACAAACCGAAACAATTTGGAAACTGAGTGTGTGTGTGTGTGTGTGTGTGTGTGTGTGTGTGTGTGTGTGTGTGTGTGTGTGTGTGTGTGTGTGTGTGTGTGTGTGTGTGTGTGTGTGTGTGTATGTGTGTGTGTGTGTGTGTGTGTGTGTGTGTGTGTGTGTGTGTGTGTGTGTGTGTGTGTGTGTGTGTGTGTGTGTGTGTGTGTGTGTGTGTGTGTGTTTTGAAGACCTGTAAAAGATTGGGTTTACAAACGAAATTCCAGAGTTTAGTGCCAATCCTGTCTAATGCTGAAAATGGTTTGCTGCAACACTCTAGCTGTGATCAGTTGTGTGGTTTAATCTAAACTTTTACGGTGTATATTGGATACATGGCTTAATTTATACATTGACCGGCCGACCAATCCTGCCCCCGAGAAGGACCCTATTTTGTATCGCTATATTGAGGGTTTTTTCTCTGTTTGCGCACAACGAATAATGTAATAAATATCTTGCCAATTTCTGCATTGTTTAGTGTTAAGCTCGTCCAATAGGAGACAGTCAGATGGTGATGGCCTAATGACCTCAAGCTAGAGGCACTCACAGCCACACCCGGAACCTAACCTAACCTGAAGTACTCCTAACTTAATCTAAACTAACTTATCCTTATCTGCCCTTAACCTAACCTGCCTTAACGTAACCAAACCAAATCTAAGCTAATCTCTCATTATTTACCCTTGACCTAAATTTGACAGTCTAATCTAATTTAATCTCCAAATAGAGTTAGGAAGATTAACTTTGATATTTGGGTTTAAAGAATCTCGCCCTTACTTCAGGAGGCCGCAGCAAACGCCATCATAAAACTTGTTAAACCTTGTGAGAAGTCTTGAAGGCTCGAACTTTCATTCTTTTTCTTTCCTCCTCCCAGACGACGTTTACTTTCCGCAAGAACAGTGCGAAAGTTGGTCAATTTTCTCTCCAAACTTACCCTAATAGGATTTATCTTTTGCTGGAGCGGGACCTGAGAACCCATGATGAGTGTGTGTGTGTGTGTGTGTGTGTGTGTCCTCTTTATACCTGGAGTAGCTGTGTGTTGACGTGGCTTATCATAGTGGCCTTACTTGTCAGGTGTCATTAGATAGGAACCCAGCTCTCATTAGATAGGAGCCTAGCTGTCTTCATAGGAGCCCAACATTATCATATTGGCCATACTGACAACAGCAGGAGGCCAACAGAGGATTATATCATGGCCACACTGGTGGCCTCTATGGGATTATATCAATTGCCACACTAGTAGCAAATAGCCACTAGGGAAAATATCATGGCCATACTAGTAACACATGGCCACTAGGGGGAATATAATATGGCCACACTAGTAACACATGGCCACTAGGGGGAATATAATATGGCCATACTGGTAACAAGTGGCCACCATCGACCGGAGGAAGGTAATATATCAAGGTAGCTAATAATTTGTCCCCAGGATCGACCATTAGTCTCACCCCTTGTTTGTCTACCTGTCACCCCCCCCCGTCCACCTGTGTGAGACCCGCCTATACACTGTACAGGTGAGGCAGAAAAGAGGAAACCAGAAAGAATGAGAGAGAGAGAGAGAGAGAGAGAGAGAGAGAGAGAGAGAGAGAGAGAGAGAGAGAGAGAGAGAGAGAGAGAGAGAGAGAGAGAGAGAGAGAGAGAGAGAGAGAGAGAGAGAGAGTGTGTTAAAATATTAATGGTCTGCCTTTTACCAGCCATTTATCAGGTGTTGGGAGGTAGTCGTGTATATATATATATATATATATATATATATATATATATATATATATATATATATATATATATATATATATATATATATATATATATATATATATATTATATTTAATGCCTTGGTCGTGTGTACACTGGTGCTATATTTACCACTCATTAATTTAAAGTTGTTGACAAACACACCGGCATACAACGCACATACTGATGATTGGAGGACAAGTGAGCCCCATTCCTACTGTGACCTACTCCTGATTGGCCCCCAATCTTACGGGCCCCAACCAATCCTAACCTTATCAGATGACCTTGGAAATACTATGGTAGGAGATGTTTGTATATGGACACAGTGATATGACCTCTCTGAAGCCTCTGTTAATCAGTATCCTCCATGTTTGCTTTATTTCATCTTGCTTATTTCCCCCCAACATATATTTCTCTCTCACTTTCTCCTCCAGTTCCCTCGACTGTTGGATTCCTAGGCTTATGTACAGTCAGGTGTGACGATAGAGGTACAGGTAATACTGTATAGGTGGCACTCCCGCCTGATAGTACGTGGACCTAACCCAACAGTAGCGCATTGGTAGGCTGTCCAATCAGCAGGCAAATAATCCTGGGACAGCAGTAATGCCAGTTGCGATTGGTTGGATAACTCACTGCTCTTTCTCTCTTCAGGTGGGGGGTATGGAGGGGATATGGCTACTGGATTTAAACGTGTTATTCTTTTATCATACCTCATTCATCAATACACAAAGTAGGAACAAAACTCACTGGAGCTAATATAATCATTCTCATCCACCCAGCTAGAATCTTCAACCATCAGCACCACTGTTATTATACTGGAGTACTCTACAAGCCATCCTCGCTCACCTCAACTTTCTCTTGTGTTTTACTTGTGAGGTTTTATCATTCTGTGGGTTTTTGGGGGGAGAGTCTGGTTTAATGCAGCCAATGACGACGAACTCTTTGTCGAATTTATTCCTCATTATGCTGCCACAACCGAAAGGATTTGTCTTCTTAGTGTGTCTGTGTTATGTTTACGTGTGCCTGTCTGCCCGTTCGTTCGTTCGTCCGTCATATTTCGTTTCCATTTCCATACGACGTTTTCTATAACACCAGATTGATCGACACCACTTCTCACTACTCAGATCCATAGGTCAACAAAGGTCAAGGGTTATACTCCAATCACTGCCTTGCGCCCTAACACTGGATTTCAATCATTCGATTTAATCTTAACTAAAACTGATATTACTTGGTTTAACAGTGATAGTTGTCGGTAAATAAGTAGAATTAGGTGCACGATGTTTAGTGACGGGTTAACTGCAGCACTGTTAAAACAAATGTTAAAATTGACGGTCACAGTACAGCCTAAAACCGTAAATTTAACAGTCTCCTTTGTGTAAATTCTATTGTTTTTTTTTAAGTCCATTATTTACCGGCGCCTTATCGTAAATGTTAAGGGAAAAACGGGTAAGTAACCGTAAAAATGGGTAACGGTTTTCGCCCGTGGAAATTTACGGTTTTCTAGCAATAAATTACTGTCATTTTTTTTCTTCTTTTTTTTATAACAATGTGAGATCAGGGACTACGGGTCAGTTTTTTCGAAGCTTTGAACAATACCAGGTGTAACGAAGCTTTGAACAATACCAGGTGTAACGAAGCTTTGAACAATACCAGGTGTAACGAAGCTTTGAACAATACCAGGTGTAACGAAGCTTTGAACAATAACAAGTGTAACGAAGCTTCGAACAATAACAAGTGTAACATCGATATTTTAATAAAACACTGAGTTGCATCATTAAACATCATCAGTCATCATCAATCTTCCTTTATTAGTCCAGGAGGTGGTGGCCAGACCCCCTGAACCAACGACAGTGTGAGTGCTTCAGGGGGCCGCGTCACCGCCTCTATGTACTGTACAATTACGATTAACTTTTGTGTATTAATTTGGATTATGATGATTCCTGAAGGAGCTTAAAGTATTTGGAACATCACCTTGACCTTTATGGGGCCCCAGTTTTTAAGGGTCCTCATTCCTAATGGGTCCCATTTTTAAGGGACCTCACTCCTAATGAACCCCAATCCTATTGTTTAGGCAAGGCTGGACTGGAGGCTTTAAGGCCTGGGCCACATTTCTGATGGGTAAATTAGGTTAGGTTAGGTTAGGTTAGGTCAGGTTAGGAACTAATAGGAGCTGGAACCCATTCGTTCCGTCACCTTAGAAATTACATACAGCATCATGTATCAAACAGCCACACAACATAGCACCTCACATATCAGGCTAATGACTCTCCTGCCTGAGGGATGCAGGACACAGATGCCTGCAGTATAATCACTCAACATGATCACACCAAATTAAAGCCCGGACTCTGACCCGAAGCCCGACAGGAATTATTAAACAAAAGAATTGAGAGTTAGGTTAGGTTAGGTTGGCTTAGGTTAGGTTAGGTTATTGGTAAACTTGATAAGATTTCGATAAGTTCTATGTCCAGGTCTGGGGATTAGCGAATCTCACCAAGACGCCAAACTATCATACTGAGTTAAAAAAAACTAATGATTCTACTAGCCTTACATATATATTATTTTTTTAAATTCTAAATACATCATTTGACTGTATCATTGTCAATACCAAACTGATCTCAATGGTGTACGTTAGTTTGGGATGATTGGAAAGAGCTCAGAGGTCCCCCCCCAGCCACGGTCATTTATAAGACCCCTGTGCTGGCGGCTGTACATAATTTTCCTCCCTCCCTTAAAGTACATCGTCTTATATCCATCTCCTTAGAACCACCCCAGGGGACACGTGACCTCACAGGCTGTGTTTGAGGATAGTGGGACCAAAGCCTCAGGAAAAGGAAATAAACACGATGCACTGGCGGACCATCAGAAACGTTTGGTGCCATTACACTGTAGATCACAAGCAAGACACACTCACCTGACACCTCAATAACAACACCCACGCATGTGTTGTCGCCATAAGACTAAGAAAAACTTATTGTGTTTTTCTTGCATGCAACTCAATTTTAATAGATACTGATAATTCAATAAATTTACTGTTTGTTTTGATTATAGATAATTGGAGGGAAGGAGACAGACAGACAGACAGACAGACAGATTGTGTTAACTTAGTGATGGTTATGGTAGTGACACTAACTCGGTGGTGGTAGTGCATGGTAGTGTTACTCTCTCTGGTAGCGGTATTGCCATAGTAATAGTAACATTCATGGTACATATGGTAGTGACATTAACCTTGTGATAATGGTAGTAACTAATGGTACTTATGGTGGCTACAAATGATAACCTTTGAAGTATACATATAATGGTACTTACCCGTTCCTTGTGGTACCAGTGTAGGTAGTCTGGTGGTTCTGGCGAGTAAGGTACCACACACGTCAGGTTGATGGGTGAGCCAATCCCCACGTGGATGTCTGGGGCCCGTAGGATCTTGGCTTGTGGTTCTGTACGGGGATAGAGTGGTATAGGTGTTAGTGGTTCTGTATTGGCGTAAATAGTAAGTTTTAGCGGCACTCTTAAAGGGATAGGTGGATAGCTTTAGAGGGAGGGAGACAGACAGACAGACAGACAGACAGACAGAAACAGACACATAGACAGACACATAGACAGTCTGGGATACACTGACTCCCCCCCCACGGCTACAGTGGGGCACAAGGTTCAGCTGCCTTTAAGAAGTTAGCTTAATGACATTTAGAACCATGACACGATGAGCTGGCCCAAACGTGGCTAACTTTCTTATTACTGAACCTGGATGTAACTTCGTCTCTGTCAGGAACACATATACTTACACATACTCTCTCCCCATTGTGCTGTCTTTTTGCTTTCTCACTGGAAGGGAAGTTAACCTAACCTAATATAAAACACACACACACACACACACACACACACACACACACACACACACACACACACACACACACACACACACACACACACTTTTACACACTATACTAGCTCTGGCCATCAGCTGATACTATCACTTAGTGGAGCAATAACTGTGGCCGCTGCTAACACCACGACACTTCGTTTGAGCTATAACACTAGGTAGAGAGGCTGGGGGCGTTAGGGAGGCTGGAATATGGCTGTGGGGGGCTGGGAGAAGCGAAGGCGTTATGGGGCTGGGAGGGGAGGGAGGTGTCGGGGGGCTGGGAGAAGGCTGGCAGACATGAGGAGAATGTCAGGGGAGCTGGAAGAAGGCTGGCAGACATGAGGGAGAGTGTCAGGGGCTGGGAGAGGCTGGCAGGCATGAGGGAGAATGTCAGGGGGGCTGGAAGAAGGCTGGCAGACATGAAGTGTCAGGGGCTGGGAGAGGCTGGCAGACCATGAGGGAGAGAGTGTCAGGGGGGCTGGGAGGCTGGCAGACATGAGGGAGAGTGTCAGGGGGCTGGGGAGAAGGCTGGCAGACATGAGAGTGTCAGGGGCTGGAAGAAGGCTGGCAGACATGAGGGAGAGTGTCAGGGGGCTGGGAGAAGGCTGGCAGACATGAGGGAGAGTGTCAGGGGGCTGGGAGAAGGCTGGCAGACATGAGGGAGAGTGTCAGGGGGCTGGAAGAAGGCTGGCAGACATGAGGGAGAGTGTCAGGGGGCTGGGAGAAGGTAGTGAGAGGTAGGAAGAACAGGGAACAGTCTTTGATCTTAACAAAGTTGACGTAATATGCTGGTGTATTTAACCTAACCTAACCTAACCTAACCTATACCCCCAAGTCATCTCTCCGTTTCACCTATAAACTTTTATGTTTGTTTGTTTTCTTCAAGAGCCTAATTCTTGCTGGCCTCCACAAGTTGGTGTTCACCTGGAGTCGGATATGCGATATATTCCCTAACGTCCTCAGTACTCCTTTAAACTCGTTGGGGAAGTCAGTGACTCAAATGTTTCAGGAAGATCCGCTGACCTCTTCACCGGGTATTGTGTCCTCGTGAAGAATAAGACACGGGGGCGACGGACACAACCCACACGTGATTAAATACCACTACAGCACCTCCTTCAGGAACCTTGTAACACCACACATAGTTTCCTCGGTGTTTAGTTCAGTTAGTTTCTTACTAACTCTTATGAAGTTACTAGAGTGATGTGGTCAGTGCTGGCTGTAACTTAACACTATAGCTGCGGGTTTAGCGTCGACGATCAAGGTCAATGTGAGTTAGCGGCTCCCTTAAGTGCAGTATAGTTCTATAGTTCTCTGAGTAGTCGAGAGTGGACGGCGGGCGGCACTTGCCTGCAACAGTAAGGTGGGTGGTGTGGATGGTGGGCGGCACTTGCCTACATCAGAAAGGTGGGTGGTGTGGGCGGTAGGTGGCACTTACCTACAACAGTAAAGTGGGTGGTGTGGGCGGTGGGTGGCACTTACCTACAACAGTTAGGAGGGTGGTGCGGGCGGTGGGCGGGGTACTGGACACTTGACAGTCGTACTGACCCGAGTCCCGCGGGCTGGCGTATTGTAGCCGCAACATCCAGTCGCCTTTTCCCGCATGCTGCACCGCCGCGAACCTTGAGTCACTTGTGTAGGTGGTAGGTCCCACCGTCAGTATGTGTAGGTCCCTGTGTCTGATCCACGACACCTGTAAGGAGAACACACCATTAAGTATCATATAACACACCTGTAAATATCATAGAACACACCTGTAGGTACACACGATACAGTTTTCTGGCATCTATCACCCAGTTTAGTAGCTGTAGTGTGGCCAGTGCTAGGAGGCCCTAACCTAACCAAACTGGGTCCTATGTAACCTGTCTCCTTTAATCATTATTTACTACACCTGCAGGAAGACAATAGGTGTACTGCATGTTGTTAATAAGGTCACAATCACACCTACTTGTACCACAACTTGTGCCTCATAACTAGGAGTGTTGTGTTTTGTTTTAGTTACGTAAAATCTGTGAAGTAAAAGTGAACGTTATATACCTGGAGTTGAGGCGTGACGTCATTGGAGTAACAAGGGTCTCGTGGAAACTGAATGAGATAACTTTACTTCAGTATGTTTAAAAGTCAATTTATTTCTTTAGTAACTTTATACAATATAAATTTATACCGTTAGTTATCAGTACATTAGAAATCCTAACCTAACCTAACCTAACCTAACCTAAAAACCAATACATTATTCACATTATACAGTACATGTTATCTCTACTTAAACTGTGGCAGCGACCCAGGATGATGCCAGAGATCAACTGGTGAAAAAATTAATGAATAAATTACTGTAATTCATTAATATTATTTAAGTTATTTTATTTCATTAAAGAATTTAACATAAATTGTCGCTACTGTCTGAGACTTTCAATTACAGAATTGGAATTATGTTTTAACATCACACGGGACTGGCAGCTTCCTTTCCCTTCCCCCTACCTTGAATGACGTCATTGGCCGCCTGGGAAAATTTTTACACTTTTTGTACTGCTTATTTATTTTTAAATTCATATTTACATCAGCCCCTGTTAGGCTCTCAGCCCCTGTTAGGCTCTCAGCCCCTGTTAGGCTCTCAGCCCTGTTAGGTTCTCAGCACCTGTTAGGTTCTCAGCACCTGTTAGGTTCTCAGCACCTGTTAGGCTCTCAACACCTGTTAGGCTCTCAGCCCCTGTTAGGCTCTCAGCCCTGTTAGGTTCTCAGCACCTGTTAGGTTCTCAGCACCTGTTAGGCTCTCAACACCTGTTAGGCTCTCAGCACCTGTTAGGCTCTCTCAACACCTGTTAGGCTCTCAACACCTGTTAGGCTCTCAACACCTGTTAGGCAGCACCTGTTAGGCTCTCAACACCTGTTAGGCTCTCAACACCTGTTAGGCTCTCAACACCTGTTAGGCTCTCAACACCTGTTAGGCTCTCAACACCTGTTAGGCTCTCAGCACCTGTTAGGCTCTCAACACCTGTTAGGCTCTCAACACCTGTTAGGCTCTCAGCCCCTGTTAGGCTCTCAGCCCTGTTAGGCTCTCAGCACCTGTTAGGTCCTCAGCACCTGTTAGGCTCTCAACACCTGTTAGGCTCTCACACCTGTTAGGCTCTCAACACCTGTTAGGGCTCTCAACACCTGTTAGGTCTCAACACCTGTTAGGCTCTCAGCACCTGTTAGGCTCTCAGCACCTGTTAGGCTCTCAACACCTGTTAGGTTCTCAGCACCTGTTAGGCTCTCAACACCTGTTAGGCTCTCAGCCCTGTTAGGCTGTTAGGCTCAGCCCCTGTTAGGCTCTCAGTCAGCACCTGTTAGGTTCTCAGCACCTGTTAGGCTCTCAACACCTGTTAGGCTCTCAGCACCTGTTAGGCTCTCAACACCTGTTAGGCTCTCAGCACCTGTTAGGCTCTCAACACCTGTTAGGCTCTCAACACCTGTTAGGCTCTCAACACCTGTTAGGCTCTCAGCACCTGTTAGGCTCTCAGCACCTGTTAGGCTCTCAACACCTGTTAGGCTCTCAACACCTATTATACATTAACAATACTTGTCAGGCAGTCATGACACACAGTCCTGTCGTATTATTTAATTTATGTTAGACAAGGAACATTCACTAGGCGGTCTCACCTCCCGTCAGTACACAGCCAAGTCAGAGATCCTCCACTTGTCAGTTAGCCATGATAAACATCTGAGCTGCCAATATGTGTTAACAGTAGAATTAGATAGCCAACACCTGTCAGTCATCTATGATAGGAAACTAAAACGTAGAAGACAGCTAAATAATGTTAGACGGTAGACAGTTAAGTTAGACAGTCACCTCGGCTCAGTATACAGGTGAGGCGAGACACCAGGTGGGCGAACATCATTGTTGAACGAAGAAAATGGTATACGAGTTGATCAATGATTGTCCATTAAAGGAGACAAGGCCAGCCCTTCCAGCCCTGCCACTACCACTACTACCAGCCCTGCCACTACCACTACTACCAGCCCTGCCACACCACTACTACCAGCCCTGCCACCACTACTACTACCAGCCCTGCCACTACCAGCTACCACTACTACACCAGCCCTGCCACACCACTACTACCAGCCCCACCACCACTACTACCAGCCCTGCCACTACTACCAGCCCTGCCACTACCACTACTACCAGCCCCTGCCACCACCACTACTACCAGCCCTGCCACCACCACCACTACCAGCCCTGCCACCACCACTACTACCAGCCCTGCCACCACCACTACTACCAGCTCCTGCCACCACCACTACTACCAGCCCTACTACCAGCCACCACTACTACTACCAGCCCTGCCACCACCACTACACCAGCCCGCCACTACACTACTACAGCCCTGCCACTACCACTACACTACTACTACAGCCCTGCCACCACCACTACCACCAGCCCTGCCACCACCACTACTACCTGCCACCAGCCAGCCCTGCCACCACCACTACTACCAGCCCTGCCACCACCACTACTACCAGCCCTGCCACTACCACTACTACCAGCCCTGCCACCACCACTACTACCAGCCCCTGCCACCACCACTACCATGCCACTCACTACCAGCCCTGCCACCACCACTACCACCACTACCATTACCATCAGTCCCATCACCGCTACCAGTCCTACTATCACCACCACCACTACCAGTCCCACCATCATCACCACTACCAGTCCTACCACCATCATCACCACTACCAGTTCTACCACCATCACCACTCACCAGTCCTACCACCACCATCACCACTACCAGTCCCTACCACCATCACCACTACCAGTTCCCACCACCATCACCACTACCAGTCTCCACCACCACTACCAGCCCTGCCACCACCACTACTACCAGCCCTGCCACCACCACTACTACCAGCCCTGCCACCACCACTACCACCACTACCATTACTATCAGTCCTATCACCGCTACCAGTCCTACCACCATCATCACCACTACTAGTCTTACCACTAGCACCACTACCACCACCAGCAGCTCTACACACACACACAACAAGTCTCCGGGATCAGGACAGGAAGCAGGATTCCAGCTGGAATTGTAAATAATTCCCAGACGTGTTCCCGCCTGTCTGGAATCCCTAACGAATCGTTCTGCGAGTATGAGGAAGAGGAAGGAGAAGTAAGGGAAATGAAGAGGAGGAAGAGGAGGAAAGGGTAGGAGGAGGAAGAAGGAGGAGGAGGAGGAGGAGGAGGAAGAAGGAAAAGAGAGGAGGAGGAAGAAGAAGGAAAAGAGAGGAGGAGGAGGAAGAAGGAAGAGGGAGGAGGAGGAACGGAGAAGAGGTGAGGAGCTAGGAGAAAAAAAAGAGAGGAAGAGGAAGAGGAAGAGAAGGAGGAAGAATGGAAGATGGTAACAAGGAAAAGATTAGTTGTAGGGAGGAGACAAATATGGATGGAGGAGGTTACTGTAGGTTACTATTAGTTCCCTACCTAATCTGATTTAATCTAAACTAACATTATAACCACTGGGATTAAAGCGTAGCCTTGATTAGAGTGAGGGCCCATTGTAAGTGGCGCATGTTGGTGCTTCTGGGACCTACAGCGTCATGCCTCGAAGGTGGTGAGCGACACAGGAGAGCGTCATGGTTAATGAGTGAGGAGAGACGGTCCTAGAGCTGACTCGCATATTGACTTGTTTCCGAGGTTGTGTGTTAGTCAGGGTCGGCGTTCATAGAGCTGCAAACCCACTTACAGAGCTGTTGATGAAGTTGTATGTCGTGTCAGTCACTCAGGCGTGACGAGGGTGCATGTCAGTCAGCCAGTCAGTCAGTCAGACATTGATGACAGTCATAAGAGTTGGTGTCACTTACAGAGTTATTGCCAAGGTTGTGGACGACGCAGGAGAGAAGGGCCGTCTTGGAGGCGGTGACGGTGACGTTGGTGGGCACGAGTGGGTCAAACACCGGTGGGAGGGTGGGCCCCGGGATGGTGGGTGGCGGCACTACGTGACGAGGTGCCCGTGACCATGACCACACACAACCTAAGAGAGAGGGAACAGGTGGGCGTCAGGTGATGGTGAGACACACACACACACACACACACATACACACACAGTACATTAAAACATATCACTGAATATACAAGGCCTCCATTCAACATGCCTCTACCAACACTATATATTAAAAAAAATACAAAAATTACAATCCTAACATACAGGAGACCATGTCAATTTTGAGCCAGACGTATAAGGCCTGGGGCGATATACCAGCTGTATACATAAGGCAAAAGACCCGTATAAACTGCTCCTGTGATTATATTGACGCGCCCAGTTCTTTTAAGAGTTGATGGTAAGCCCAGCCTGGTAATTACCCGCGTGTGTTGGCGTTTATTCCATTAAAGTAAAAATGTATGTTGTAATACGCTGTAAGGGCGACTGTGTTTACATTGGTTAATTGTGTTGTCTAAAGAAATATCTCACGAGGGTCTAGACTCCTCCCCCTGTCGCCTTAAAGAGAAAACGGACCATAACTCCCTGAATATGGAGGGAGACTTTTATAATTGTGCTCACGATAATCTTGTTAAATGAAGTTACAATCACATACTAAGTTTGGGGGGCATTTGTTATCTACTGTAACTACGAACAAGATCTTATCATTTACCAAAGTTGATCATAATAAACTTCTATTCGTTCACATATCTCCGACTGACTCACGGACCTGTTTCTTATAATCCATTAGGAAAGGAATCTTGCTGGGGCTCATCTACTGACTAGCTAATAATAATAATAGTAATAATAATAATAATAATAATAATAATAATAATAATAATAATAATAATAATAATAATAATAATAATAATAATAAAAGGTCAAAGATTAAGTCAAAGGACAATAGCGCACACTTACCACTTGGGGGGGGGGGGGTGTTCCCTAATGACAGTATTTTGTCGCGTATTACCTCAACTTACGAACCAAACACATATATAATTAATTGTTATGCTCTAGTGCGACTCACAAGGGTATATTGATCACCTCACCTTCTCCACTTCCTCGTACCGCTGCAGGTAACGTGTGAAGTGGTAAAGGTGTGGGTGGGTGTGACACAGTAAAGAGAGTGACACAATAAGGGTGTGACGCAGTAAGGGTGTGACACTTTAGAGGGTGTACACAGTAGGTGGGACACAGTAGAGGATGTGACAATGTACAAGGTGTGATATAGTAAGGATATGACACAGTAAAGGTTGTGGTACAGTGGAAGGTGTGACACAGTTGAGGGTGTGACACAGTAACGGTGTGACGCAGTAATGTGTGTGTGTGTGTGTGGGTCTATAGAATATTTACTTGGCTAAGTCCTCACACCTTGAGTCAACACACTTAACATTACAAGCTAAAGTAAACAACTCTCGTGCATGAGTTGGTAGAATGAACTTAAAACTAATGGATGAAATACATGTTAGTTACAATGTGTGACTGAGATAAGCAGGTGTTGTGATCTGGGGGTAATTAAGCCAGTGCCGAGTACATTACACAAGTTGGCCTCACCTGGCAGGTAGAGTAAGGTAGTCCACAACACCACAAGTGACATCACCGACGGTACTGCGGGGCGGGACGTCATCTTCTTGGCTGATGTCATCTGAGGAGGACAGTATACAGTATTAGTCTCTCTCTCTCTAACTTTTCATATAATACATGGTTTATCATACAGTCCCAAGCGTTAAAATTATATTAATATTAAAGGTGATTTGAACACAAGTCACACACCAACGAGGGAACATATAAGAGGTTATATCCCTTATTCGCTCTCAGTGTGTCAGTGTTGTGAGTGATACAAACTGTGGAGCTCTTCCTTTGTTTGGTTTTAATTGCTGTAGTGTACGTTATGACTCTCTTGTATATGAGAGATCATTTTCGCGGGACTCGCTCTTGTCAGTTGGGGCTCCACACTCTAGCCACTGTAACTGCTATAAACTGAGCTACTGTGACCCTAGTCAGTGTGGGGAGTAACGAGATAATTGGTGGTGGTGGCCTCGTCCAGGTCATGTGATGATTGTACACTCACACACACACAGTTTGTTTCTTTACGTCAAAATATAAATGCGACTTTTACCTTCAGTTTTCACCTTTTTAAAATAAGACAATGCTCCATTTCTCTCATTCCCATAGATAAAAGTTAATGGTTTAATTCTTTTACTCGTATATTAATTCAGTGTGGGGTAATGTGTCACTTCTTTCAGTTAAATGTTCCACTTCTGTCACTCAAACGGTCCACTTCTATTCCCCGTGTTCCACTTCTGTCACTCAAACGGTCCACTTCTATTCCCCGTGTTCCACTTCTATCACTCAAACGGTCCACTTCTATTCCCCGTGTTCCATTTCTATCACTTCTATCACATTAATAATTTCTTCCATCTATTATTCCTAAAGAACGAAATAAAAAAAAATCTCTACTTCTATCACTCGGTATGAAAGAAGGTCATTGAATGAAAAGTCACCATTAAACTTCGTTCCCATAATCACCTTCAATTATCACTGGACCGAAAATCCAATAATTGTGGAAATTGAGGGAAAAAATTTATTAGTGAGACAGTTATTCTTTACCATCAAACCATCATTATTTATTTTCCACTTGGCGTTTAGGAATAGAGATTTGTGTGGATAGAATGTGGGTAGGATGTGGATAGGATGTGGATGGTGTGTGGGTAGATTGTAGGCTGCGTAGAGTTTGTGGATAGGGTGAGAATAGTGTGGAGGGGTTTTTGTCGGATGGTGTGTGGATGTGTATGTGGGTTGTGTGAGTGGATAGTGTGTGGGTACGGTGTGGGTAATGAGCGTTTCGACGATATATCGCTTACTTTACATATTGTTTCGCGTTCACATGGTGACCCAGTCCTAGCTGACCCAGTCCTAGCTGACCCAGTCCTAGCTGACCCAGTCCTAGCTGACCCAGTACTACCGGGAACTAACCTAACTTGCCTTAACCTAATAACTGGAACGTAAATACATTAGGATTCGGGGCCACCGAGGGTCTCATCCATTAGGTCAGGGGTCCAATCGTAATGGTTAGGTTAAGTTAGGGTTCATCAGAACTGGGGCCCACCTGACCTACAGGGGCCCATCCGACCTACAGGGGTCCATCCGACCTACAGGGGCCCATCTGACCTACAGGGGCCCATCTGACATAGTGGAGTCCATCTAATTTATAGTGACACCATTTGACCACCTGGTTGTCAGCTTAATCACTGGGGCCCACTGACCACCTGGGGTCCGTTTGAGCTGGACCCATATTCACTAACCCTATACAGAGAGCAACAACAACATCCCCAGTGTGTTGTGGGATTAACTGGCTGGTGTACGTCAGGTGCAATGAGTTCACACTGGTCAGTTGGTCATGAATAGAATTGTCTCCAGTTTTTTGTGTACTGTGTGTGTGTGTGTGTGTGTGTGTGTGTGTGTGTGTTGGCTGCCTAGTAACACGGTTTAATAACAGTGATTTACAAGCCCAGTTGGTATGCGCTAACCATATGGAAGCAGCAGCCCGCTCGGACCTTCCCTGAGTTAACACAACACAGCGCGTGCAGAGAATCTTTGATGTGTTACTGATTTACTGTTCCTCGCCGAGTGCTTTTTGACAACCCTGTGAGCAAGGCGTCCATGTGTGAATTATTACTGTTTGAATGATCCCAAGTTCTAATGGGTACCCTGTGATAGTGGATGGCTGTGTTAATGGGTGATGATTCTAATGGGTGGCATTGTTAATGGATGCCGGTTCTAATAGGTGCCTCAGCTTATAGGTGCTTGAGCTAATATATGCCGGTTCTAATGGGTGGCTGTGTTAATGGGTGTCAGTGTTAATGTATCCAACTACGAATGGACTACAATGATAATGATTTCCAACCATTAATGGGCCCCAATCCTAACCTAATCTAACCTAACTTAACCATACCTAACCAAACCAAAACGTTACTGGACGGACGGACGGACGGACGCTTGGACACACAGACGGAGGGTTACCACTATATTCACCCCAGCAGGAAATGATAGGGCATGCGAATAAGCCGTGTGGGGGTTTAATCTACTACCTCAGCGAGCCAATAGTGGTAAGTGTTCACGTTTTTATGAACTGGTCTGAAAAAAGAGAGTAATTCTGGTAACGATAAATTTTGTGGGATGTATTGGGCTCCATTTACACTCCTGCCCGGCTAGTGTGTGTATGTGTGTGTATGTGTTTGTGTGTGTGTGTGTGTATGTGTATGTATGTATGTGTAATTTAATTAGCCAGTGTCTGTCTGTATGTAAATCCGACAGCAGAGAGGCTCAACACCAAATTCTCTTAATCTCATTTTCATTTAATTAACAAACCTGTATACATTCTCAGTAGGTAACATAACAACCGTACTGGAGGTTACGGTACAGGTGAGACTGGCACTTTGTCCTTATTCACCTCACCTAACCTAACCTTGACCCATTAGGATTACGTGGACTCGTCGGCATTGGAATAAGGCCCAATTAGGAATGGCTCTCGTTAGGACTGCGGTATTGTTCCGATGGCTTAGTGTAGGTTAGGTTAGGTCGAGGGCCCACTCTTCCTGTGGTTGTCCGCCTTTGTTGTAGTCACAGAACTGCTCCAAATTCGGGACAGTGTTGCAGAGTCTGGTGTGCAGTGTAACTTATGTGGCTCTGTTTGTCTGGTGTCTGTGTATCTGTCTGTCTGTCTTTCTGCCTGTCTGTCTGTCTGTCTGTCTGTCTGATGTCTGTATGTTTATCTGTAATTACTGCACGTCTATCTGTCTGTCCGTCCATAAGAGAGCTTCTCATTGCTTCAGCACGGCCGTCGTCACTCTTGAGGTGTTTGGTGATGGTTCTACAAGGATGAGGGGGGGGGGACATTTAATGGGGTGGATAAGAGCGCTAGTAACTGACACAGGCGGACCATTTAACGCTAACGTATCGAAAACAAACGTGACAGTATTTAAAAATGCAAAACCTGTGTTTAATAAATTCCATATAAAGCCGACAGTGTGTGGAGCTCCCTGACACGGGGCTGGTTCCCCTGTCGTACAACCTTCCTGCTTCAGATATCGTCACACTGGCTGGTGCTCGGCTTAGTGAACAGGTGTGGAAGGAGCATTTGTTTGAACTCTCTCCACTGTTGTTAAATACAAATATATTTTTTAATTAATTTTCTCCAGAGAAACTAACTTGTCCGCTATATAAATATAAAATATAAAACATTATATTGTTTTAATAAATTAATGTGGGGTCCGCTGGGGAAAGTGTGAAATACAGCACGTTGTCGGCGTAGCTTGTCGGGGGGTCATAACGAAGAATCATGGCGGCACTGCACTTGGCTATCTTTAATTTCCCATTTGTAAAGTTTATAAAGTTATACAGCAGTTCACAACTGGGTCAACCATGAACACCCTTTGCTCAAACCAGCGACCCTGAGGATAAGAGGAGAGCGCTGTATCCATCCAGCCGTTGCAGCCATTTAGATGAAGGATGCCATAAAGGAAGGGCGAGTGTCCGCCACATGATGGTAACTCTGGCCTGTAATGGCACAAAACACTGCTTCTTTAAGTCGCCCCGAAGTCTTGTCATATTTTCACACACAATGTTTGGCCAGAATCCATCCCTGTTAAAGTTATTGTGTTCACAGATCATGAGACGACGGACATTGGAACGGCCGGGCACATGGAGGAATCATGCCTTCTCATGTCTCTCCCGGGACGTTGAGTGGCAATAAATGTGAGTGAGAATTTTGTAAATTGTAGACAGTAAGTTTTCTCAAACGTTTACGCTTAGGTTGAAGTAACTGGGTCCAGTATTATTGTGAAACACCACACGTCTCACTTTGCATTGTAAGCAACAGCTGCTTCCTGCGGATAGCGAATCCCGGAGTAAGTTTTTATGGAGATGAGGAGAACATATGTAGACGTTTGAGTGTTTGTTGTACCTGTTTCCCACAGTCTTCAAGGATAAAATGCGTATGTGTGTATGTATGTATGTATAAATGTATGTATGTGCGTGCGTGCGTGAGTGCGTGCGTGCGTGTGTATATATATATATATATATATATATATATATATATATATATATATATATATATATATATATATATATATATATATATATATATATATATATATATATATACACAAAGACGTTCAGTTGCCCACTATACGTGTGGGCAACTGTACTTTAAATTGCAGTGTTTATTCCTGGAACATTTCTAGGCCACAACTTCGATATAAGGAAATGTCGGAATCTGCATAGTTTGCTAGCTACAGCACCTGAAAGTTATTAAAGTAATGATAGTGAGACTGGAGTGAAACAGCTGTAGATTTTTGTATAGTTTTATGCAAACAGCTCTACACAATGCTATACAGAGACAGAGGGATGGAGCTTTGAACATTTACTGTAGTGACGCAACTGTTTCTTACTGTGAAGGTACATAGAGTAAAACAAGTAACGCAAGGATTATGTGCGAAACAATATGACACCAGGGCCGAGGGATGGTGGAATATAAGTGTAAGATAATTAATGTATTGGTGTTGATATTATGCCGGTCTTGTGGGACGTAACTAATATGGCCCTACCATAGGTAGGTGGAAACCCTTGCCATAAAGGCACGCA